ATCAGCTCTCACTTTCTGACCACGACCTCCTGCCATACAGGTACAGTCAGCTATAAGTAGGAAATCAATGGGAGAGGCATATGGCATGGGAGGTCGAGCTTTCACAGGAGCTAGACCTTAATGATGGATCTTGCTCCCACAGGAAAAAGGAATGGCTACTAACTCCACTGCTTGCAGAGCTAAAAACAAAACTCACACAAGTGAAAGGAAACAGAAAGGAAACAGGATGATAAAAAGGACAGGAAAGAGAAAATATGTTTGCTACTATCCAATTAATCTTACAAACGCAGAAATAAGGTGGCTGGCTTGTTTATATTAATTCAGTTAAATGGGAGATGTTCAAAGTCTGAACTATAAAATACACAGATATATTAAATGCTCTTTTGCTTTATTTTGTAATTCACTCCTACTGTGCCACTGCTGTAAACATGCACATGGGTATCTGTCATATTGAGCCACAGGCATTTTCAAAGTTCACCTCATGTGCCTGTCAGTTTTGAACTTCAATTTAACAGCAATGTGCTGTTTTGTGGCCAGAGATATGTAACCAGTTCAGGAGTGACCTCCTCACAACAATTTTCTGCAGGGCTTGCTAGAAGTTGTATGGTCTTAGAACAGTAGTGAGGTGTTTCTGTGCTCCTCTGATTCTAGTCTTGAAGATCAGAAGCCAAGGCAAATGTTCTACAGCCAACTCAGTTGTATTTTACTGGATACCTGCTTTGCTGTAAATCTTACAGCTCGTTTAGTTCTTTGTCCCCCAAAACTTGCTGTGACTATCCCTCAGGCTCTGTGAGAACCACCACAATGAGATGTCCTTGTTTTCTGCCAACTTCCTGTCTTCTCATCCACCCACTCACACAAGAATTTTGTTTCCATATTTCATCCAGTTCTCCTGTCCAAGAATTTACTGAAATATTGGTCAACTAAGGAAACTCCCAGCATAATGTGAATAATTTTCATACAAATGTGGAAGTATAAAAGAACACTTCCTTCTCTGTCTCTAAAACTCCCCTTCTCCCACATCTACAATGTTCATTTAATACCGTATCTTCCTCTTTTCATTTTTTAACCCTTTCCTCAGATACTTTTTCCATTAATTTTATAACAGCACTGCCTCCTTATACTTGCACTTCTTCTGAGCTGTCTTCCTTCTTTCACCAGAAAGTATCTTCATGGTACTTCTACTACAACAGGGGTATCCTCACCAACCTGGCCAGTCCTAGTTTCTATAATTAGACCCAGAGCTCTTCAATTCATGTCCTGCAGACCACATCAGGATAGACTAGCTCAGCACGCAGTGGAGAAGGTCTGTGGCAAGATCAATGGGTTTAAGAAAATTTGCTCAGCAGGACCTCAAGCAGAGAGCAAAAAAATGACCACCCTGAATTTCCAGCAGTGCTAAGCTCAGAGAACCACAGAGAATCCCAGCTTTCCACACAAAGTTACAGATAATCATGAATAACTCAACCAAAGCATCATGCTAAGCAGCCTCCCTGCAGGTCGAGGGAGGTGATTCTGCCCCTCTGCTCTGCTCTGGTGAGACCCCACCTGGAGTCCTGCGTCCAGCTCTGGAGCCCTCAGCAGACGAAGGGCATGGTCCTGTTGGAGTGGGTCCAGAGGAGGTCCACAAAAATGATCCGAGGGCTGGAGCACCTCTGCTGTGAGGACAGGCTGACAGAGTTGTGGCTGTTCAGACTGGAGAAGAGAAGGCTGCAGGGAGACCTTATAGCAGCCTGCCAGTACTTAAAGGAGGCCTACAAGAGAGCTGAGGAGGTATTTTTGACAAGGGCATCTAGTTATAGGACAAGGAGTAATGGCTTTAAACTGAAACTAGATCTAAAAAAAAAATTCTTCACTATGAGGGTGGCGAGAAACTGGCACAGGTTGCCCAGAGAAGCTGTGGCTACCCCTCCCTGGAAAACTGTTCAAGGCCAGGTTGGATGAGGCTGTGAGCAATCTGGTCTAGTGGAAGGTGTCCCTGCCCATGGCAAGGGGGTTGTAACTAGATGATCTGTAAGGTCCCTTCCAGCCCAAACCATTCTATGATTCTATGATTCAAGCATCCATAACTGAGATAGCCCAGGTGTTGCTGGCATTGGATGCACAAGAATGAACATGGCACAGTCTGTCTCCACATACCCACTCAGACCCCACGCATCAAGACAGAACTCTTACAGGATGTGTAAAAGGTCAAGGGCATGTAGGTATCTAAAAGTAATTTTTTATATTAGCATTTGGTTAGTTTATTACTTTGATAATAGTTTAGAAATTTGGAAGAGTTAGAAAAACTTCTGGAACTCGCAGACTCCAGTAGAAAACAAGAGTGTAGCAGATAAATCTGTTTTCCAAAGCTGTTCTTTTGATTTGGCATAGATAAAAATAATTTCAAACTGCTTGTTCTCATGGTTATGGTAATATATACAAATAGATAATTTTTGCAATTACTTTGAGAAGGTAAAATACCTTAAAAAAAGAAAGAACACAATGAAAATCTACTCCTCTTCTACAGCTTAAAACACTTTTTCAAGGAAGTGGGTAGTTATAATGCTGAAAAGACTTACTAAACCCATTATATAGGAGAACAAAACTCGATTTGCTTTATTGATCATCATAAATTATGGGTCAGATACTGATTTTAAATACAAAACCAACACCATATAGATATAGCGGCAGATTGATAAAGAAAAAAAAGAATGTTGCTGAAGTGGTAATAAGGGAATGTATGTATTAAGTACTTCTCACTTCAGGAAGTGTGGAATGCAGAAACAGTGATGTAAGTCCAGGAGAACCTGGTGGAACTAGCCACAGTTCAGACACCACAAAGGGAGGACAGTCAAATCGTCAGGCAGAATCTCACCTTTTGATTCCACCCCATTGTTTTCATCAACTACAATGCAAAAAAGATGTGAAAAGTTTCTGAAGCCACCACACTGCTATCAGGAGCAGTGGGAATGCATCCTACTAGACACCGTGATTAGTAAAATACTTGGTCAGGTCCCTTTTTTTTACAAAGAAAAGCAAAGTATGCATGTAAGGTTTATATTTAAGTGCAACCAGTCATTCCAAGCTTGTTTTAAGGATAAGATATTTTTAAGAAGATTTGTTCATACAAAAGTGAGGTTGCCTTGGCAACTGTAACTATAGAAAGCTAGAGTAATTGCTTTCACAAAATCCTTCTTAGTGCTTTCTCCCTCTTAACACGAATGTGTAAATACCTTGTTTTAAGCTACATTTATCAGAAACACTACTCATCATTGATTCTGCCCTTGAGCCATGGGAATCCAAAAGTATGTGCTTAAAGCAGGTTGAATAGTGCAAAACCAATCTGCAAACTCTTTTTTCAGTTCAAAAATGAAAGTGAGATCATGCATGTTTGCTCTTGGAGGGAAACGAAAATTCGAAAAGAATGCAGCATTCTATTTTCGTATTGCACGATCTCATTGAACAAACTCTGCCATATATTCATCTATCTTCAAACACAGTAACATTTCACTTCAGTGAACAGCAGGCAGAAGGAATTAAGGTTGCAATTTAATATACCTACACCATACTCATGTAAACAGATCTACTGAATCCTTGCACAGCTTTGCATTGCATACTGTGGACTTTTCTGTGTGGCTGGGACAAGTTTAAGGTCTCTGTTCATCTCTTCATTACATGGTAGAAATGTACTCTGATTTCCCAGGCACAGTTTTGATTAGCAATTAGCAATATTTGGCATAGTTCTGCTGACCCCTAGGCTTGTCATTTACTACCTTTTCCAATTTTTCTGCTGGGCTTGTTAGAGTAGATGATGTCCATTTAGGCTTGATTCCTTTCTGTGGCCTTCCTTTTACTACAGACCTCCCCCTCAGGCCATGCTGTTCAGCTTTGGCTTACTGATGGCACAGTATACATCAGCCACAGGAATGGGTTCTTGCATTGAAACAGGGATGGAAATTAACAGTAGTTTGCACATTGCCTCTTTTAATTCATTATCAGAAGAGTATTGTTTTCCCCAACTCTGCTTCCTGCCTGTATGAATGCCATCCTGAGTTACAGTTGCAAAACACACGCTAGGAAAGCCAGTTACACTGTATAACTACATTCGTACCCTCTTTCTCTTCCTTGTCTGGGATTCTGTATCTTAAAATGTATTTACAAACTCCTGATATTAATCTTCAAACAGGATTCAAGCACCCTGTTATGAATACTGAAAAGACTTTTCTTTGTCTGTTAAAATGTCACAAACAAGTTACACAACTCTACAAGTGATAAAGAAGTGATATCTATCACTGCAGAAGCCACTAGAAATCTGGGAAACCAGTATCTTCCACAATGCACATGAAGATTTTTGCTGCCCCTCTAGTTTTGCAAAGTGCCAGAAGTCACACACACTTACTTATGCATCATCATCATCATCATCATCATCATCATCATCATCATTCCAAGCAGTCTTGATATTTTTCAAATCCAACTATCCATTCCAGTCTGGCTGGGAGACTAGCATCATTTAGCACAATGGGTATCAAACACATGTATTCAGCATCCATTTTCTAGCAATTCCTAGGCCAACAGAGGGTTAATGGACTCTAAATTAGAATAATTCTTAAATTTGCACTCATCTCCACAGAGACTTTGCTTCAATGAAGTGAGTTTTCAACGCTGTAACAGTATCCAGGCACTCAAAAATCCAATGTGATATTCACAAACTTTAATTTTCCACTAGCTTCGCAGTGATTAACAGCAAGACTACCCAAAAAAATAGCATCATAAGACAGAGGCACTGAACAAAATTATGTATTAAGTCCTGAATTTTGAAGTCAAAGGAGACAGGGAAATTTAAACCAATTAAGGAGCTGCTGTGATGTCTGTTTTAGGCTAAATTAAATATAGCCTTTTAGCTCGTGTTCAGTCATCCTTGTGTTCACTTTTATGTGGTTTGACAAACTGAGTAATCTGAGGTCTGTCCTCACAATACTCAAGGAAAGATATATAATGCCCTTTTACTTTTGATTTACCTTTTGATCTATATATTTGTTTTCTTCAATTGCTGATCTCTTAGAGTGGTCACAGGAGGAAGACGATGCTGAAGGCAGTCTTCGCAGCAAACAGGTGGTATCTTGTTGCTGGCGATCAATAAACTGCTTCATAAAACTTTCCCTTGTGAACAAATAGAAGATATTGATGGATTAAAATCCCAGGAAGAGTTACTATTTGGCTTTCTTTATGATGTGTCATAACCCATTAGTGCTAAGATGGATAAACTCCAAGTTGTACTGGGCTATAGACGTCTAAAGGGACAGACTGATAAAACTTCATTTATTAAAGACATCCACAACTGAAATGAGAGGTGAGTGGCTTGCATGTAGTTTCGAAGCAAATAATTTTATTCCTTTTAATATTTATTTATCTAATTTATTTATTTACCGAAGTGAGCTCTTTCATTAAACAGCAAATTGTTACTTCAATGTAAATCAAACGCAGATATAATCCAAAGGAAACATACTCTCTGAAAGAAATTCTTGAAGATGTCAAACAACATCTGTTCATATAACTGCTCTGAACGCCAGTATTAAGGTGCTTCAGCAATTCTGTGCCTTACATATGTCATGTTTAAAACGTAGAAGCATTTCTGTTTACAACAAATGTACATTCATCTTGCTGTATTTCAAGTTTAGTAGAGTTGCCCTACTGTCATTGTAAATCGACTATGTAAAACCTAATTTTTTGTCTGGAGAGATAGTTCTACATAGTACAACAGGTTCAGATTTAAAGATACGATTTGCTAGTGATAGTTTGAAGTCTTTTTCAGTAGTTCGCATGATCATGTATTAGTCTAGAGTGTGGTGGGAAAAACACAGCTACAAAGCAATACCAAAACACACTAAAACTAGGAGAATGGGCAAGTTCGGGGTCCTGCACCTGGGGAGGAACAACCCCATGCACCAGTACAGGCTTGGGGCGGACCTGCTGGAGAGGAGCTCTGTGGAGAGGGACCTGGGAGTGCTGGTGGGTGACAAGTTAACCATGAGCCAGCAGTGTGCCCTGGTTGCCAAGATGGCCAATGGGATCCTGGAGTGCATTAAGAAGACTGTGGCCAGCAGACTAAGGGAGGTTCTCCTCCCCCTCTACTCTGCCCGAGTGAGGCCCCATCTGGAGTACTCTGTCCAGTTCTGGGCTCCCCACTTCAAGAAAGATGAAGAGCTACTGGAGAGAGTCCAGCGGAGGGCTACAAGGATGATGAGGGGACTGGAGCCTCTCCGCCACGAGGAGAGGCTGAGGGAGCTGGGCTTGCTCAGCCTGAAGAAGAGAAGGCTGCGAGGGGACCTAATAAATGCTTATAAATATCTTCTCTGGAGATATTCAAGACCCGCCTGAACAAGGTCCTGTGCAGCCTGCTGTAGGTGACCCTGCTTCGGCAGAAGGGTTGGACTAGATGAGCCACAGAGGTCCCTTCCAACCCCTACCATTCTGTGATTCTGTGAAGAATGCCCTCACTATGTAACCAATCAGTATTTTGATACTAAAAGCAAAACATTTATGACTGCTTCCTTGAGGTTTGGAAGGTTATTTTTCCTTGACCCTTCTGGCCAGTATTATTCCTTCCATTCAGCTAAGATGATACAAACAGGTCAAACCAGTTGCCTTAGCTTCCTTACGAGTTTAATCAAAAGAAAAGTAACCTTAGGAAACTCAGAGCAACGACAGCCATCCTCTCTCTGGCATGTGCTTGGTGGGGATACTGGAATGGGCATGGCCAGAAGACCTGTTTGGCCAGTCCGTGCTCTTTCAGTGGTCTTAGCAGCCTGTACGTACTACAGCAGCCCTTGGATTTCTGTAAGCTTTTTTTGGGACCATACCAAGAATAATTGTACTGTAACTGATGATCTTGTAGCCAACTGAGGGTCTGATCCTTTGTTAAGGCAAGCTTTACAGGAAAGTAGTAACCATGCAAATACAAAGAGGGGACAAGGTCATGACAAAGTAACTGCTATTGGATGGTTTGTGTTATCCCCTCTAATGATTTGCTGCCAGTTGACCTTATCTTTAAAAAGCTACATGAGAATTGATTAGACTGCTAGCTGGCTATGCCAGCCAACAATCTAAAATCCAAACAGGAGTGGAGAAACAACAACACGCTTGTGAGCCATATTGTACTCGTTACAGTTCCGGTCAATCTGGCTGCTTTCATGAATTCATTGTAAGGAGTGCTAAGAATATTTTTTTTTTTCAAAAGTAAAAATGAGGTAAAACAAAAATGTCACATCCTTTTGACGCCAATGTTAATTCTGTTTAATTTCTGATTTTATGAACTATCTGCCTGACACACAAGTGAAACAGTTCAATATTTTAGGTGCTACATGGCACCAGACAAGTTTACAGCATACTAGCAAAGGAAATATTTCAATACCTGATTTTTGGAACTGTGAAATCTGAAGGAAGCTTGGAGATTTTCACCATCTGTGGCCTGTTTGGGAATTTTTCAAAGATGCGTAGACGCAATGGAAGCTTCTCCTTTGTATCCGCATTTGCTTCACTTTGCTTTAGCTGAAAACAAGAAAATGAAAAAAACATGACAGAAAGGGAAATTTTGCTTTGTAATATCCCAGCCTTTCTTTTCGGAATCCAAATAATAGCAGCAATCATTTAAAGAAACAGAAGATGGCAGCAAAGAACTACAGAAGGTAAATCTGAGTTTATTGGTCTGCTTGTGCTGGAAGCTGAGAAATACCTAACAATACCATGCCTTTAATGGAAAGTCATAAAATGGGAGGATTGCTAATAATTTTAATTTTAAAATACGAAGCATATTAGTGTCCTATTCAATATGCTTATTTCTACGTTTTCTTCACAGATCCCCAACACTTTATCAAGCAAATAAACATCCATGATCTTTTCATACTAGGCACATCTTTCTGTATATGCTGACAGCTCTTCGATATTCAAATAGAACATAGCATTCTAAAAGGGAGAAATTTTAAAGGAATACAGCTCTCAGAACACGAAAATAACAGGAAAATTAGATTCAGACGAATATTATAAGTAATAACAAAGGACTCAAAAGAATGCATCTACATCAGCAGTTCTGATACTGAGCTGCAGCAAATCACTTAACGAATGCAGCATTTGTAAGTATCCACAAACAGTAATTCCATGGAATATCACACAACTAAATACAGAAAAGGCAGATACATCTATGTGGACAGATGATGGCTAAATCTAATGATACAAGATAAAAAAGACTTGATATGGAGATATGATTCCTGAATTCTGACTACTTTATGTAGTGATTCAGTTGTGTCATTGCAAGAAAATACAAAGTCAAAAAGAATCAGTGAAATCAGAGACCGAGGGAGACTGAGGGAGGTGATTCTGCCCCTCTGCTCTGCTCTGGTGAGACCTCACCTGGAGTCCTGCATCCAGCTCTGGAGCCCTCAGCAGTGGGAAGACATGGACCTGTTGGAGTGGGTCCAGAAGAGGCCACAAAAATGATCCGAGGGCTGGAGCACCTCTGCTGTGAGGAAAGGCTGAGAGAGCTGGGGCTGTTCAGCCTGGAGAAGAGAAGGCTCCAAGGAGAACTTATAGCAGCCTTCCAGTACTTAACGGGGGCTTACAAGAAAGATGGGGACAAACTTTTTCGTAGGGCCTGTGTTGACAGGACAACGGGTAATGGTTTTAAACTAAAAGAGGGTAGATTTAGACTGGATATAAGGAAGAAATTCTTCACTATGAGTGTGGTGAGGCACTGGCATAGGTTGCCCAGAGAGGCAGTGGAGACCCCATCCCTGGAAATATTCAAGGCCAGGTTGGACGGGGCTCTGAGCAACCTGGTCTGGTTGAAGATGTCCCTGCTCATCGCAGAGGTGCTGGAATAGATGACCTTTAAAGGACTCTTCCAACTCAAACTATTCTATGATTCTATGAAATTAATTTTTGCATTTATTTTAAATGGTATGTGTATTGCATACTATTTCCGTTCTCCTTCTCCCACAGGCTTAGAAGCTTACATTTTAAAACAGACTTTCAACATCAGCACCTGCAGGGAATACTGCTGATAGACATCAGCTATCGATCTTTACCAGGGGCAATTGCCCGGGAAATTGAATGGACTTCTAACTCTCATTTGCACTGCCTAGTGAAACGCAAGCTCCCACAGCATGCTATAGAAGAACAACAGCTCTGCTGCAGTGTCATGCTATTGGCGACATCACCACTTCCAGCCATAGGACAGCTTAAGCTGAAAATCAATTCATATTTCGTTGGGTACAAGTTGTCACGTGGACTAAAAACTGAAGAGCTACACACAAAGATGAATGCGTAATGGTAAAGCACTGAGTCAGAACTGAAGGGGAATACTGCGTAAATCTGTATTATGTCCAGTCCTACTTAATTGCTTCATTAATTATCCTTAAAAGGAAGAAATAATCACATGAATGAAATTCACTTGATATTAAAATGTGAAGAGTTGCAAATACCACGGCAGACAAGGAAAAGGACAGATTCAGAAATAGGGGCAGGAAATAACAGACTGAAAAAATTCTAGACCAAGAATAAGGGCAGAAACTAAACAAGAACTTCTACTTCAATACAGCATCAAAAGGCCAGTTTGGGCACCAATTACATTACCAGCCAAAGGCTGTGCTCGCAACCCGTCTCTGTTGGTTAGTCATTATATAGTTTTAGAAAATGGTACAGAGGAACACAGCTCCTCTCCTAGCTGCTTTGAAGAGACCATACCTGGATATGCATTCACTTCTAAACACCATTTTATCACTCTCACACTGACAGGCCAAAATAACGCCGAAAAGAGCCATGAAAACCAGGGGAGAGCTACATAAACCAACTGGGACAAGGGAGAAAAAAGGAGAGAAAGACCAAAGGGACCCAATATTTATCCTACATCTACCATAACTGGTAATAAAGTAAGGGGAGGAGAGATGATGTAGATTTATGTAAGCAGTATTTGAAAACAAATAATTTCAAGAATATACTAGAGTACCCTAAATATAGGAATGAGAGGATGAAATTAAGAAAGGGAATTCTTAGGCTGAGAATAAAGAATACTTCTTTACAGGGAAATCTCTAAGTGGTTAGAGAGGTCTCCAGAGGGAAGTGTCTCATCATTTCAAATTCAGACTAGACAGAACCCTTGAAACAACAGAGTACTCCAGAAGGAAATCCCTCACTGACAAGGACATGAATTGGATAATCCAGCATGGCTTTTCTGCAACATTGTACTGTTGCAAAGCTTTGGGAAGTGGTCATTTTTCAAGAGGAAAAAAGGTTTCCAATTTCTGCTGGTTTGCTTTTTAATAAGAAATCATTGCATAAATACGCAGATTTTGGCATGGACAAATGACGTCTCTTACAGCTATAAACTCCTGTTTGCAGAAGTCAGTCTATACAGAATAGAGAGCATATGACAGATTGTAACGTTGTCTGAAGACTCTGGGCAGAACAGATCAGGGAGAGCTTGGAAGCAGGAAACTGTACAGTTCAAAAGGTAAGCAAGGGGACAGCAATTCTCCCTGTCTAAACAGGAGAATGATTCAATATAGGCTTTAAAATAACATAAAGTCAAAGCAGTTTTACAGAATATCTCCAATTACTCACGCTGTGATAATATTACATATTCGGGAGCATGAGGCATTTAGCTTCACTGAGTTCTTCTCTACACACTTAGGGTGTAATTGTTGCTCCACATGACATACATCCTATTTTGCATTGCTGCTTAAAACCTTTACATTTCAACTTTCTTTACTTCATAACAAACACTTATATTTTTAAAGGTACAAGATTATGTTGAAATGTGGCAATGATGGTGCAGAGCATTTCTAGTAACAGCTAAACCCAAAATAAAATATCAGGACATTTTATCTATGATTTTAGATTTTACTTATTATTATTACTATTGGCAAAGAAATGCACACTGGTCTGATTTGCTCTGCGTGGTCCTCAGTCTCCAGCGCCAAAGAGCCTACTGGCAGCAGTTCACCAGCATTCTGTCATCCTGACCTAGCTAAATTCTCTTGTGGCTGCTAGAACAGTTCCTGTAAAGCCAATGCAGGAATTTATGTCTATTATTTCCACTACTTCCACAGTGCTTGAGTGTACAGGGGCAGATTTAACGGCACAATACATACGGTACAACTGTCTGCTCTGAACCTAGATCAGAACTTATCCAAATCGTACATAAACGGTGAGGAGTGGCAGAGAAGAAACCTTAATTTAGGATTCCAATAGCAGCATGAATAATACATTCAGATATGGGTCCCTGAAATCCAAGGTCTCCCTGATCTGTTCACATAATTGCCTTAGATCAATACAAAAGACAGCTGTGAGAAAGGCAGACTTATTGGTGAAGAGAGCATTTTTGCGTTTTTTTTTTTCTCCCAGAAAGGCATTATGGCCATGTCTCCATTCGCATCAGAGCAGTTTGAAGTGAATCCCCCAACCATTGGCAAGTGCTGATTGATGGTTTAGTTTATGAGCTGCATTGGTAAGCACAACAGATTCTACCTGAAGGAAACCAAACCCCAAACTCCACCTTGGTTACACAGAAACGCACTCCATGCACTGAGACTGACGTGAGGATCCCAACCAGTGACTGGTCCTTAAGGCAGCTTCCAACCCCATGTGGGGCATGTAGCCCAGCGTGAGACCGAGTCTCTTCTGAAGTGAAACCCCCTGAATGACATGCACTGCAAACACGGCGGCAGCGGCAGCTCCGTCATTGTACTCATTCTCTCCCATGGCGCAGCCCAGGCATTTACGCGGGACGACCTCATTCATACTTACTTAATATAGCTGCAGCTGTAAATTTCTTTGTGACTTCAAGGCTTCCTTACAAAAAGGAGATTGCTAAAACCAGCTTTAGCATAATTAAGATCTGGGCCCTTAAAACTGAAGAGGACCTGTAGGCGGTTGTCCTAAATGCACACAGTACCATGAATGGTGGTGAAACTGGAAGACTGGGGTAGAGGTGGGGGAATAAAAGAGACAGCAGGTAATGAGTAGTGAGAAGAAAGGGTAGGGTTAGCTCTTTAATGCAGACACACGCTGGCTGTGGTCAGACAATTGTGCTGGGAGCAATCACTGCCTCACTGGAGATTACAGCCTTCCCAGCAGGAAGCCGGCATCCCCCACGTAACCACACCGGTCCCACCAGCCCAACAGAGCCGTGCCACGAGACTATTCATAAACCATCCCTCCTCTGCCAAGCTACTACAGCTTTCTCATCTGTGCTTCAGAAAGGAAAGCACTAACATTTAAAAATTTTTAAAAATACACTATATTACAGTACTGGAGCCACACAGCATACACAGTGTTATGCAGAACCTGAAGAGGAGAGTAAGACAATGGTTGTTCTTAATTTTTTTATCTTAAAACATTGTAGTACTGTAGTCACCCAGACATTAATCACTGCAAGTGTGGTCAGGGTGAAAGTAGTGAGATCTTCTAAAGTGCATATTGCACCTTCTTTGACAGCAGTGACTGGAGTTGCTGAAAAAACATTAAAGCACTGGAGTGAGACAAGCAGCAGGACG